ATGTTGTTGTGCTCTCAGTGAAACTCCAATTATTGATCCCATGCTTCTCTAACTCACTTATTTGTGGCTTCTGCTTTGAGCTCTGATGAGTTGACTCTGCTTTCATTCTTGAAGTACTGAGTTGTGTGGCTCCTTTAATCTTAACTTTTTGAGATCTGCTTCTAGTTTGCCCCTCCATCTCCCAGAAAATAACAAGTGTTGAATGATTGTTAGTAGTCTCATTACCCCAGCACTCTAAAACTTCCTGTCCTTTGCATTTAGTCAGCTTCCTCCTTAACAGTGCGCAAATACCTATGCAACCACCTCCAGTTGCTTTAACTTGTTCTAAGTTCCAACAAGGTGAGCGCTTTTTGCTTCTCTTAAACCTTTCCTGTGTTTTCGTAGAAAATTCCCCCTTTTTTTTTTGTTCCAAAAGAGAGATTTCCCTCTTCATATGAAGCTCCAGTTTCTACTCTTATGCTTGTTTGCCCCTTTATATGTTGCTTCTGCCTTGAGTTCAGATGGGTTAACTCTATTGTCTCTTCTCAACCGCTGGACTTCTGTGCCTCCTTCCTTAAAGTCAAACTGGAAGTCCTCTGATTCCACCCCTTGCTCATGGACAGGGATACAATGTGACCGTTACCAGAATGTGGTCTTTCTAAAGCTCACTGCATCTCAGATTTTTGGTCACCTTGGGCCAGAAATTGGACAGCTGACTCACTTGTAGAAACTTTGGTTGGCCACAAATGGTTTCTCGGGTACAATACCCCCAGAGTTATGTAATTGTAGTCTGCTTGAGTATGTTGATCTTTCTGAGAATCATTTGTCAGGATATATACCTTCAGAAATTGGTAATTGCAAATCTTTGAAGTCTTTACAATTATATTCCAATCAACTAGAGGGAGCTATTCCAAATGAATTGGGAAGACTAAGTAAATTGGAGGACCTTAAATTGTATGTCAACCACTTGACAGGTGAAATTCCAGTTGCCATTTGGAAGATTCAGAGTCTTAAGCATGTCCTTCTTCATAATAATAGCCTTTCGGGGAAACTACCTTCAGAGATGACAGAACTCAAGCATCTGAAAAATATCTCATTGTTTGACAACCAATTCCTCAAAGCTTGGGAATCAATGGCAGTTTAGTGAAGCTGGACTTGATGAATAATAAGTTTACCGGTGACATCCCTCCAAATCTTTGTTTTGGTAAGCAACTGCGCACTCTGAGTTTAGGTCTTAATCAATTTCAAGGGGGCATACCTCCAGATTTGGGAAGATGTGCAACTCTTGCAAGGTTGGATCTCAGTGACAATAATCTTTCAGGGCCTATTCCTAAGTTTGAAGGGAATAATGATCTCATATACATGGACATGAGCAAGAACAACATCAGTGGGGCAATTCCATCAAGTTTGGGAAACTGCACAAATCTCATTGGTTTAATTTTGTCCACAAATAACATTACAGGGCCTCTACCCTCAGAGTTAGGAAAGCTTGTGAATCTTCAGGTTTTGAATCTTGCTTACAATAAACTAGGAGGCACTTTGCCACTACATCTGTCGTACTGTACCAAAATGTTTACATTTGATGTGGGATTCAATTTTCTTAATGGTTCATTCCCATCAAGCATGAGGAGCTGGACAGCTTTAGGCAGATTAATTTTAATGGATAATCATTTCAGTGGCGTTGCCCCATTTTTCTTCTCAGATTATACCCAGCTTCTCGAATTACAACTTGGTGGAAATATGTTTGAAGGAGTAATTCCCGCATCAATTGGATCATTGATTCACTTATATGAGTTGAATCTGAGTTCTAATAAATTAACAGGTGTGATCCCTAGTACATTCGTTCACTTGTTAATGCTTGAAAGCCTAGATTTATCCCTGAACAATTTGACAGGAAACATACAAGCCCTTGGCAGATTTTTATCATTAGCAAAATTCAATATATCATACAACTCATTTTCTGGTCCTTTACCAGAAGGGATAACAGTATCTCCATCATCTTTCTTGGGAAATCCTGGCCTCTATGTCCGTTGTTCAGCTTCGGATGTCTCAGGTTGCAAAAACAAACCGGGTGATATGGCCAGTAAAAAATCAATTGTTTTTATAGCACTTGGATTCATAGTGCCTGTCATTTGCTTGTCATTTGTAATTTGCCCCTCATCTGTCACTCAAATCCGCTGGTTTACTCAAATATCTAATGGGGAGGTCAATATTGACCATGAAGAACAAGAGGCTTTGTTTTCAAACGATGAAGGATTTTCTAGAATTTTTAACCTACTAGATGCTACGGAAAAGCTACATGATCAACATATAATTGGTGAAGGAGAGCAAGGAATTGTTTATAAAGCCGAACTTGATATTGGAGTTTTTGCTATTAAGAAGGTTAAATTTGCACAAAGCAATAGGAGGAAACCAAACATGATCAGGGAAATTGAAATGACTAGGAAGATTAGGCATCAAAATGTGGCAAGATGCCTAGGCTCCCGGATTGGTGAGGAATATGGTCTAACCATTAGCAGGTACATGGAAAATGGAAGCCTTCAAGATGTTCTACATGAAAATGTTCCACTACCCTATTTAGCATGGAATGTCCGCTATAAACTAGCTATTGGAATTGCAGAAGGGCTAGCATACCTCCGTCATGATTGTGATCCCCCATATTGCGCAGAGACATCAAACCAAAGCATATACTCCTTGATTCTGATATGCAACCTTGTATTATTGATTTTGGTATTTCGATTGCTTTGAATCAGCCCTCTACTATGGTGCGGATACGGTCAATATATCATGCAGGTACTCGTGGATTTATGGCACCAGGTAATTGCTCTTCTTCTGCACTCAGTGGATTAATTTTCTATTTCTAACATGTTTAATAAAACTGAGATAGTTTTCATCCTATAAGAACATATATATCCAGATGATGAATCAACAAGATAGGAAAGCAAATGAAAATAGATCAGAAGGATAATTTCTTTATAATTTAACATGCTTCCATTGTCTTGTGACAGAGATTGCATGTGTGGTAGTGCCCAGCTGTGAGCTTGATGTATATAGTTATGGGGTAGTTTTGCTTGAGCTGATAACTAGAAAGAAAGTATTAGACTCCTCATTTTTGGAAGAGGAAACCACTTTGGTAGGGTGGTTTAAATCTGTATGGAGGAGAACGAATGAACTTGAAGAGATTGTTGATTCATCCCTTGTAAGGGAGCTTTCAGGTTTAGACGTAAAGGTGCAGGTCATCAAAGTGCTTTTGGTGGCTCTAATTTGTACCGAGACAAATCCAGGAAAGAGACTGAAAATGAGGGATGTCATCGAATTCTTTGAAACGCCCACTGATCCAGGTAGGAGTTGTGTTCAATTGACAAGGACAAGTGTCATTAACATCATACTTAAAACAAAGTATTAAATTCTAATACATGACAGTGCGGATCCTTGTTCATATTATTTCAGATCCTTGTTCATATTATTTCAGATTCTGGTATGTATGACACACAGGTTGCGCTTGGTAGGAAGTATTGAAAATGAGAGATTAGGATTGGGATTGCAATTGAGAAAATCTATTAAAAAAGTGTTTAGCATAAGAAATTGTTTATTATGTGGGACTAGCCAAACTCATGTATGTGAGATTGGAGAATACCATGGGAGGAAGTAGTATTCTCCACTCCTACCTCTATATTTGTCTAGTCTCACATAATAAGCAATTACTCATACTAAACACTCTTTTAATAGATTTTTTCAATTGCAATTCCAATCTCAATCCCTCATTTTTAATGCTTCGTACCAAACGGGGCCATAGTTTAATTGACATGGCATGTTACCCAAAGGCTTAGTTTCATTTCATCACACAAATTGGTAGTTCTGAAAGGAAATCACAGAAGTGATTGCTGCAGCTGGTACAACTGCTATTATCTAATTTATTATTTGACCACTATCTAGTTAGTTAATAGGATAAGATATATGTAATTTAAGTTTAAATATCATATCTTTATCTCTTCCAAGTTATATGATTCTAGGCACAAAAATTTTCTTCTTCATCTATATTCTCTAGTTTTTCAGTGATCAGGCTTCCTTTCTGCTATATTTTTGTCATTACACGTTCTCTTTCTGTTTTCAACTGAACTGGTCATGAAACATGACTTCGTTTTATTTAAGGAATTGAAATCTTGGCTTGAAATTCCAGCTGTTGAAAGGGCCGTGGTCTTATGCTCGTCAAATTTGTGCAGGAATTTTCATTCAGCATGACAGAGCATTTCATCTAGGTTGTTCTCTTGCGAATGCAGCAGCCTCTATATTTTTTCAGGTAAATTGATTTAGACAAGTAACAACTGCTCATAAGCCCATAATAAATTCACATTATTTATCTTAATTTACTGCTTGCAGATGAATTCAAAATGTCCAAGAAATACTTCCTCTTCAAATTAGTAGGGTTTTGGTGTGCGAGGATTAGGTTGAAAATAGTTTTGCAAAACCAGCTTTGCTCTTGAATAGCATTATTTTGAGAAGACCTTATTGGGAACAAAAAGAATAGGCTGAGCGTAAGGGTCTGAGGTCATTGTGAAGCTTAAACTCCCTCTGCTCCTTAATATAAGAGATTGCTAAGCAATTCACACATACTAATAAAACATTTAAAAGCATTAAATTTGTCACTAAATTTAAATGATTTCCAATATCACCCTCATTAACTACACTAAATTCCAACATCATATAAATTTCTACCTTCTCACTACCCTTGTTAAATATGGGCATACATGGGGGGAAAAAAAATTTAATGCTCATTGAAACTAGCATAGGATCTTATAAAAAGGACTGAAAGTTTCTTCTAGAAAGTCTTGTAATAAGGACTAGAGGGAGTAATTGTTTTGGTAATACCAATTATGTTAGAACATCAAAAGCCATTGTTGAGTGCTCTTTCTTTCTTTTACTCGTTCATCTTCTTCATTAAGCATCCTTAAATTCTGAGTTGCTACCATTCTTCCTTTTTATTCTAAACGTTTTCTATGCTCCTATGTCCAATCTCCAAGGAGGAAGTCAAGATCACTGCCAATAGAGGTTCTTACCCAATTATTCACAAGCTGATGGCGCGTGATTTGAACAATTCAAATATTATTGGCAGAGGAGCTCATGGTGTTGTATATAAATATTCACTAGGAGCATCCCTAGTTTATGCTGTAAAGAAGGTTTCATTTGCTGGTAACAAAAGAAAGATTGTAAAGATAGCTAGAGAAATTGAAATCATTGCAAAGATTAGGCACCGAAATCTGGGCAGATTGCTAGACTTTTTGTTCATAAAGGACTGCTGTCTGATCTTGTACAATTACATGCCAAATGGAAACCTTCATGATGTTTTGCATGAAAAGAATCCACCGCCATGCCTAGAGTGGAATGTCCGGTATAGGATTGCTCTTGGAATTGCTCATGGGTTGGCTTATCTCCATTATGTTTGTCATCCTGCCATAGTGCACTGTGCCATCAAACCTAAAAATATACTTCTGGATTCTGATATGGATCCTCGTATTGCTAATTTTGGTGTTGCCAAGCTTTTGGATCAGTCTTCTTCTTCAACATCATCTTTACCAGTTCCAGGCACACAAGGGTATATAACACCAGGTACTCATTTTACTCATGGTGAAGCTTCTCTCTCTCTTTCTTATTTCTGAACGCTTGCATAAAATAACATGTTCCCATTAAACCGTGGCAGAGAGCACATATACAACAGCAAATACCAGGGAGTTTGATGTTTACAGTTATGGGATAGTTTTGCTTCAGTTGATAACTAGAAAGAAGGCAGTAGATCCATCATTTATGAATGGAACTGAGATAGGAATTTGGGTCAGAACTCAATGGAGGGAAACAGGAGACATTAATACAATTGTTGATTCAAGCCTTGCAGAGGAGGTTTTGAAGTCAGATGTACTTGAACGAGTTACCATAGTGCTTTTGCTGGCTTTGAGTTGCACGGAGAAGAATCCGCACATGAGACCCACAATGAGAGATGTCATCAAGCAGTTAGAAGATGCTAATCCAAGGACAAGGAGTAAAAAGCTTCCAAGTTCCATCTCCTTAAAGACCCGTAGTTGATTCACGTATGTGGGCATTGTGAGGTACTGAACTACATTTCTTCTTCCCTGAAGCAGTGGAATAACTTGCACAGCTATCTTCCAAAAGTTTAGGTGCCTATTATGTTGTAATTAACTCTTTCGATTTTGTAAAAGAAACTGAAGCTGTCAATTCGTTGCCACGCAAGCCGATGAATAACTAATGAGCCAAGAGTAAGAACCAGGGACTATACTGTGTGAGTTCTCTGTTATTTTTCCCCTTATTTTCTTTTTAGCTTTTCTGGTTAGAGCTACACTGCCAGATTCTTTCAGGTTTTAGTATTCGCTTTAAGCTTGGGTTTCATCATAAGCAAATCTAGAATGCGAGTAGCTGAGGCAAACAAAGCCTCAGAAATTTTTACTGATGGGATCTGGTAACATCACTTGTATGTTAAATCTGTACATGCACGTGTCTATTAGTTCTGACTTGTGACATCCTGTGTTTGCTTTTATGCCAAGGAATGTTTTGTGCTTGTTTAGAAAGGGTACCAACCACCAATCCATGACTTGTGTAAAATAATGCCAAATCCAAGAGAAAGAGCTTATTCCGAAATACTAACATATTGGAAGGGAGAGAACTCTTTAAATTTACCAGCCACATTTCACTTTTGGGATTTCTCAACATGGGACTCAACAAATATTTTGTTATTCATGCCATTGCAATATTTGTGCTGCATAATGGGGACCATTGTATTGAACTTGAGTTGCTGATTACTAATAACTTCTAAAGTTTTTTTTTAATAAAAACTAAATATCATTAATTTACAATCCGAGAACACGGAAAAAAAATTGCCGGGAGGAAAGAAAAGATGCAGCGTGATTTAAAAAAGAAGAAAAAAGAAGCAATTATTCCCTTCTAATAGTAAAATGTGAGAAGGCTTGGCAAGCTAGTCAGCCATAGGATTATCAGTTGTGAGGGTATAGTTGGTTACAACCTGGCAATATGTACACATCAGTAATCTCGCTTTATCTTTCCTAAAAGCGTGTGCATAATCATAGTCCATATTCAACAAATTAAATCCTCAATGTAATCAGAAAAAACCAAAATATGTCTAAAAATTTTAATGGAAAGAGCAGAGAAAAAGAGATGATGGAAAAATGTAACTAATTAGGGGTAAAAATAGAGAAAATGTGTAGGATGATTAGATAAATCCAAAGTGATGCTTACCAAAAAATTAAAGGAAATGCTTGGACTGTTTTAGGGAGGAAAAAAACATATTATATTGACCAATAATTTAACTAAGATTGTTAATATATTCAAATGAGTTAATTGGGTCTTATATTAAGGATTTAAAGAATAGGATTTTTTTTAATCAGATTAGTGAAATATAAGCATTGTTCAAATAAAATAGTTTATTATGCAAATAAGAAACCACAATATACAATCTACAAACAGACTAATAGTTTCTTCTCCCCTCAATACATTATTAATAAACTAATTAGTGTATTGAGGGGAGAAGAAACTATTAGACTGTTTGTAGATTGTATAATTATTAATAATGTATTTAGGGGAGAAGAAACTACTAGACTGTTTGTAGATTGTAGATTGTATACTGTGGTTTCTTATTTGCCTAATAATTAATATATTAACAAATGATCTTTTTTTACTTATAAATTAATGATTAATGAGCAATGGTAATAGTAACAATTTGTAAAAATTTAATTAATTTATTGAGTAATATATAAATTAGATAGATATGAACAATATCTAATTTTGTATATTTTATTAAATTATTATTGATTTTGTTATTTTAATTCATTAGTTGGAGCAAAATGCAATCTAGCTTTCCCACACAAATTTAACTATTAAATTAAATTCTTACTAAAACTGTTAAATGTAGCTTTCCCAAACTGTTTACTTCATTAGTCGGCGCACAAAGAATATTTGATTCAAAGGGGGTAACAGTCGCCTATAGGAAAATGCATTCCATCTTCTTCATTGTAATAAGTTAATTGTCAATCAATATAGATGTTTGCTTGTTGGTTTAATTTGTTTGTCATTTTTATAAAATATACGTCTATTTACTGGGAGGTAGTTTTGTTCTGTTTTTGGAATTTATCTAAACTTCATACTATTTGGTACGTATATAAATTTTGCTGCTAAATTTAGTGTTAGGAATTTATTAAAACTTAAAAAGTCTTGGAAAACATGAAATTAGATATAAAAAATTATATTATAATTTAATTAACTATAATCTAAATTGAAATAATAATAAATTTCAAATTAATTAATTAATTAATTGTAAAGTAGATGAATGCATATATGAATTTATTAAAACTTAAAAAGTCTTGGAAAACATGAAATTAGATATAAAAAATTATATTATAATTTAATTAACTATAATCTAAATTGAAATAATAATAAATTTCAAATTAATTAATTGTAAAGTAGATGAATGCATATATGAATTTATGTAAGTATTCTGTAGAACATATAAATAGATAAAAAAAATTGATAAATAATTTGATGGTAAAGACTATTCCAAAAATTTAATGAGTATATGGAATAACATTAAAATATAGGCTAAAGTATATATTTAGTCTTTTAACTTTATGTAAGATTTCAGTTTGTTCCCTTGACTTTAAAAAGTATACTTTTAATCCTTTAATCCTAAAATTGTTAGTTTTAAATGATGATTTCTTGTAACAATAATGATTATTTTGAAAATTAAACTCACTATTATAGCAATAAGTAATGTTTTATCAACATTTAAGAGCTCAATATTATCGTTTTTGGTTAACGGTTCCAGGGTTAGATGATTAAAAGTTTACTTTTTAAATTTAAGAGATCAAAATAAAACCTTATTAGTTAAAAAACTAAAAGTATAATTTAGCCTAAAATATATGTCCAACAGTTGAAAATGTTTTGATTTTGGTTTTCACGTGTGCTATACGTAAATCATAATACTTTGCACCTTGGTTATTAGAATTCCTCAAGGCAAAAAAAAAAAAAAACTGAACCGTATATTAAACTGGTTAAGAAAGTAGTTTAAGAGTTAGTGGTTAGACTGAAATCAAACTAAGGTCAGACTTATTATATTAAAATAATACAATTTAATTGATGATAATAAAACATAATAATATTAATAATCCTTATAACAAAATATAAAAAAAACATAATAATAATTTAATTACAACTTGCAACAAAATACAACAATATCAAAAATATTCATCCTTGTAATCTTTCAATCACTAAAATTCAAAATATTATATTTGATATGAAAATTTTTAGCTAGTTATATGAATTTTTTAATCAAAATAATATCTAAAAATATCCTTAAATAATAAAAGTATTGCACGTGTAATATAATTAAAAAAACTCCATTCACCTCTTCTTCTTGTCAAACGTTCCTTTTACTTATTTTTTGGAACATATCATGAGAGATAAAAAAAAATCAAATCAGATATGAGGTCTTGAAAAAAGAAAAATAAAAAAAAATTATGCTAAGCTTACAAAATAGAGTCTATAGATAGGGTCATAATACTTTAGACTAGCTTTTTATTTTGTTGTTTCAAGACAAAGTACAATTCGTCTCTTTCTCCTCTTTTGTTTTTTAATTTTTCTATTTCATTTGTTTCTTCTTCTACTGTCTTTCTTCAAACTCTGCACTGTTCCTTTTCCTCCTCAACATCCTTCTTACTTCAGATCTGATATGTTTTCTTTATGGCTCTTCTTTTGCCTCTTCTTCCTCCATTGGGAGACCAAAAAAATAAATTGGTAACCCATTCTAACTGGCAGTTATCTAGTTTAGAATCGGTTTTTACCGGTTTAATCGGTTTGCTATTAGCTCATTTCACATCTGGTTTAACAAGCAAACCAGACCGGACTTTAGTCCAGTTTACTGGTTTTTCAGTTGAATTGGCCAGTCTGATCCGGTTTTTTTTTAACCTTGGAATTCCTTAATTCATTTGCTGTTAGTTTTGTAAACCAATTTTACTATCAACCTATTAATAAAAGGAAAATTTGTAAAAAAAGACCGCCCAAATTAAAGAAATTACACACAAAGATTCGTTCACAAAAATTGTTGTCAAAACCTATACTAATATTATAATGGGTCCTTATTTGTAATTTTTGGTGGTCTTTTTGCAATTTTCCCTTAATAAATTGTTAAATTAAATCATACCTTGTAACTAATGTTTGCAATGGAATGCCTTTAATAACACAAGTGTTCGTAGTTGACAATGTCAACACCAAGAGAGCTAAGAAATCAATCTTTATCTTCCTTTTCAATTGGGAGAAAGAGGGAGGAAATTAAAGATGTTTGGCTTGTTTTAGGAAAAAAAATATTATATTAACTAATAATTTAACTAAGATCGTTGATATGCTTAAATTAGTTAATTGAATTTTATATCAAGGACATAAAGAATAGGATTTTTTTTCCCTAATCAAATTAGTGAAAAATAAGCATTGTTCAAATAAATAGTTTATTACGCAAATAAGAAACCACAAGATACAATCTACAAACAGTCTAATAGGTTTTTTTTTTTTGCTAAATACATTATTAATCAATTAATTATTATTAATATTTAAAAAATGATATGTTCCAACTTGTAAATTAATTATTAATGAGTAATAGTAATAGTAACAAATTGTAAAAAATTAATTAATTTATTGAGTAATATATAAATTAGATAGATATAAACAATATCTAAATTTATTAAATTAGTATTGATTTTTATTATTTTAATTCATTAGACAGAGCAAAATGCATTCTAGCTTTCCTAAACAAATTTAACAATTAAATTAAAATCTTATAAAACTGTTAAATTAAATTAGAAAGGGAAAACCAGTCATAAAAATATAAATCCATGAATACATAATCAAAACACTAAAACACCTTATTAAACCACGAGTCATAAATCCCATAAGATAAGCAATTGACAACGGTGTCGATTGAAAGGTCAGAAATCAGTCTTGAACTTCATTTTTCCCTTTTAATGTTCTTTAATGGCTTCATATAGCTGGAGTTTAGAGTTGAGTAG